TGAACGAAGCAATGACCTGGCCTTCGGAAAAGCAATCGAGCGGATCAAAGACATGTTGCAGGGCAAGAGCACCCAATCCTGTAAGAATCCTGTGCCTGCCTTTCTGTGGAGACCACAGCCGATTTGGCAAAATGAATATGTGGGAACAGCAACAGTGATGCTCACAACCGATTTGATACTGTAACTGTTCTGAGGAGACAATGTATGGCAAGTTGCTCCTGAAAAGGTCTGGTTGAATTCTGGCGCCAATAAAAAGTGTGCGCGCCTAACAGGCATGCTATCTTGAGCTACTCCTCACACATCCTTCAAAGCTGTTATATATTTCGGTGGAAGCCATAGGTCTTGATTGTCATCGAGTGGCAACTAGTCGCTACTCACCCATCTCCTGACATCGTGTCCCACGCCTCCACGGCCATCCGCAGTTCGGCAATCGCCTCGAGGAGCTGCAGCTTTGGCCTGCAAAGACCCCTTGGTAGGCTCTGGTCTCGGGCAAATGTGTCACAGGTGTGTGCATTGTGAAACTACTTTCTTCAAAAACGGTGGGGAGACTTGGATTCAAAAAACAATGTCACACGTCACTTTCGCAGCTATCTTCTTGTTTGCTTGGGGCAACCACGCTACGGTCTTGTTCACTTGCAGACCGCATTGAAGAGCCGCCTGCCCCCCAGGCTTGCTTGGGATGCCAAGTGTGCCAAGCGTTGCAAGCCATGGCGATAGGCACCCCAAACGCTGCTGGGGAGCAATGGCATCTCTAGCCTGACAAACCCATTTTTGCAACAAATGCTATTTAGACTGTTCCATCCGAGAACCCAACATTGAAGCATTGTCTATCCAGACGCCAGAGTCAATTGACTCATTGGACTTACTTGATCTTGACAACCTAACATTGAAGTTAACCAAGCCCCGGGCCGCAGTGCATCATGCTGTTGAAGCAGTACCGTATGGGTGCCGTAGGATATGTCGGCTTGTACCGGCTCGCCAGAAATGGATCCTTTGGCCGCAGACTCTGCTGCCACGAAGATCGGGAGCACCATCTCGATGTATGAAGTGACCTCCGGGTCGCATGATAGACACAGTCACTGTGTCATACTGCACTATGTAACAGTCACTGTGTCTATGAAAAAGAATGGCCACTCTCGACAGTCGTCAGGAACGAAAAAACTCTGGCCCCTGGGCCCAAGGCCTCTTGAAATCGATCCATGCGCGTGGTCTGCGCAAGCCAGTGCAGGGCAGAACAAAGCGCCGCCAATGCTGAGCCTTCTGGAGATGCCATGAAGAGTCGCAAGAAGTTTGAAGCCACTGGAGCAGAAGCTGAAAGAGGGGCTGAGGCAGGAGGTGCAGGATATTGAGGAGAGGCGGCCAGTCCAGGAGGGTATCCTGCAGGTCCTGGAGGAGCCTTGGCGGCCAACAGTTCTGCAATCCGTTGATCACGCTCTTGCAGCTGATGTTGAAGCTGCTGGACACGTGTCTCGCTGCCACTGGCTTTTGCAGGCTTCCAAGGAGGTACCAATGGTTCCCTCTTTCTCAATTTTGTCAGATAGTAGGACTTTGTGTGCTCCACTTGCCTCTCCAAATCCTTGATCCGCGCTTGAAGAACCGCCTCATGGTCTGGCCCCGCACGTCTCTCCACGTCCGCTGCGGTGCTTAGTCTTGTCTCAGTGCCCTTCTTTGTCTCAGCTCTCCGCTCATACTCATGCCGCATGTGATCATACTGTGCTCGCAAGCCCCTGATCCGGCGGTCGTACAAAGCATCACGTTCCTGTAGCTGTGCCTCAATCTGAGCAGGTGAGAGTCACAAACAAACTTCTCGGGACTGAATAAAGGCTTCAACATTCTAGTCACTAGTCAAATTCATAGTGAAGCACAAAGAAACGCAACATCCACAAAAGTTGCCCGAACTCGCCTCTAGCTCTGTGACCCGAGATTGCAGGTGCCGGAGCTCCCGTTTCTCCTCCGGTGCCGGCTCACAGGCCTTAATGAGCGACAACAAGCTGTCAGGATGCCGCTTCCGCAAACATTCATTTAACTCCTCGTTCTGACGCCGGAGCTCCGCAATCTTCCTGCTGGCCTCCTTGAGCCCTGGCCGCCGCCGCAGCTCTGCAGTTTCATTCTTTGCAGCCCAAAGCTCCTCGGCCAGCTGGGCAACTTGACGACGATCTTCTTCCATTTCTTGCTGGCTTTGTGCGTAGTATCGCAATTTTTCTTGCATACCTGCAAGCTCAGATTGTGCCAATGCACACTTGGCCTCCGCTTGCTGCAGCTCTGGGTGGATCTCCGCTTCGACTCGAGGTCCAGCAATGATCTCTCGTTCGAGCTGTCGTTTGGCCTCTCGGCAGCGTTCTAATTCCCGGCCATGCTCATCAGCACGCTCCTTTGCAGCCGCCAGCTCACGCTCAAGCTCAGCAACGCGGCGCATGCTGGCAGGGTTTGCATCTGCCTCGAGGCAATTGGAGGCAATTGGACTTGCTTGAACCACTGAAGCCTAAAGCCTACAACACTTACATCCGTCACCCAAGCAATGCCTTAAAGATCTTTCCAGGCTAAAACCTGCTACAACAATATCAAGGTCACATGTCTCGATGCGTTTCAGGCAGGCTGGAAACGGTTGTATTCCACCAACCCGCCTCAGCTTTGGCCGCATTCAACTCAGCTACAAGTTGTAGCTGCCTGTCGTCTACTTCTTCCCTCTTGAGCCTGGCCCCTTGACGAAGCTGGCGGTTTTGCTGGGCCAAGTTCTCATTTTCCTTTTCACACGCGCGTAACATTTTTTCGGCCATGTCCAGCTCTCCTTGCATCCTGACAATCACAGACATTGGGCCTTCAGTGCTTTGCTCCTCTTTCTTCACTTTCTCACCTTTTGCAGGCGTCGCTAAAGCCAGGTCCTCCTTAAGGGTGTCTCGTTCTTCGCGAAGGCCGGCCAACTCCCACATCAGTGAGGCCACACGTTGCGATAGTTCTGCCTGCTGGCCTCAAAATGGAGAAAGTTGCAAACTCAAAACACCGAAACGGAAAGCAAAGAAGGTGTTTTTGGATTGCTTTAGGAAAGCTAACCGTGCTCAACCTAGGAAAGCTAACTCTGTGCCAACACTTTCTTTTCGAAGGCCAAAGCACTGTTTGCCTCTGCCACCTGGTGAGCTGCTGCTGACATCTGGTCCTGGCAGTATTGACCCATCATATTCTTTGCAAGTATGGCTTAAGCAAAAATCATGTCCGTCCGCTAAATCTAACCCTAACCAAGTGCTGCGGTGTCAAACAAACAAGTAGAAGCATGTATATAAAGGTTATACCATTCACCGCGTTGTTCCTGCGCTTCTCTTTTCAACTCCTCTTGTCTCATCTTTGCCTCGCGCAACTCGCGCACCTGCAAATTCTGCGAGCTCAGGGCATCCTGCATTTCGGCTCCATGTGGAGACAAACAAAAAGTCTCAAAAAGTGCCCGCACCATTCCAGCCATATGCTGTAAATATCTTTATTTATTTAATGGCTTTCCAACCCTTTGCAACCGCATTGAACATGTTTATCCTGGTCATGGTTCCCACCCCCCTGTTGGTTTCTGAATCGTAGTTGCTGAATCGTCTGACTTGGCTTCTGAATCGGCTGTTTTGGTTTCCGAATCGGCTGTTTTGGTTTCTGAATCGGGACTGTCTTGATTTCTGAAGCGGCCCGTTTGGTTTCTGAATCGGAATGCCTTGGTTTCTGAGTCGTAGTTGCTGACTCGTCCTTGTTAGTTTCTGAATCGGCAATGGTCCATGAGAGAGCACAAAGGACGGCACACATGTGAGAGCACACAGGCGAGAGCACAAATGAGAGCACAATAAAACGGAGAATGAGAACACGCATGAGAGCACATATCTGACAGCACAGGTATGACAGAGCACAAAAATTTGAGCACATACATGCGAGCTCACTTGAAAGCACACATTGGAGCACACATATCAAAGCACACACATCAAAGGAGGCAAGCATGTGAGATCACACATATGGTGGCACAGGTAAGAGAGAGCACAATCATGAAATCACACAAATGAGAGCACGCATATGATAGCTGATAGCACGCGCATGAGAGTACACACAGAAGTACACATATGAATGAGGACACACACGTGAGAGCACACATATGAGAGCACATACACAGTAAGAGCACACATAAGGCATCCATGTGAGAGCACACATGTGTGAGCAACAACAATTGCCCGGAACTCATCCTGCCTTGCAGGTACAGTCCTCATTTTTTGCGCTCACTTTTCTGCGCATCCTTGTGCTCTTGATGGAAGCATTGAAAGGGAGGCCACCTGTGGTGGGTCTTAGAACCTGAGTACCTTCGTCACCTCAAAATGGCCGTCCATATCAAGCAAAGTCAAGTTTTCCTTGTGCAAAATAGGCCGACAAGCTAGGTTGAGCTCCGCATTTCTCACCCCCTCGCAAAACTTTGGATGGGGCCTGCACAGACCAACGGCGAGCACATTTCCTACATGTGTGCACATAGCATGTTGTTCTGTTCGTTCATGCGACAGTCGGCTCAGTTCTGCAACTACTTGGCCGATGTGGGCTTCGTGAATGCCTCATCCGGTGACTTCACGATCATGCTTCTTGCAGCACCTTGAAGGCTACCTCCTTTTGATCCAAGTACCAACGAATGCATCAGTTCTTGCAGGTGTGGAAGACATCATGGGGCACTTTGACATCGCCATGGATTTAGGGGCACTTGAGTGTGGTTGCTGTGCCCAACAGTACATTCATCATTTGTCATTTGTTGCAGGTGTGGCAAGTATCATGGGGCACCTTGCCATCACCGTGCAAAAGTTGGTTTGTGTTTGACTCTGTCCGTTCTTTTTTGCACATCTTCCCATCTCTCACCTCTTCACATCTTCATCTCTCTTCTATCTCTCATATCTTCGCACATCATCTTCTTCCCACAGGGTCTTCCTAGCATCTCTATCCACTCTCGAGCCACCGGCCGTCTAGTTGCTGAAGGCAACCTTGAATGGCGTTGGCAGGGTTAAAGATTGCCCCAAGAGTTTTTTGTAATTGACATAGTTACAACCTGTTGCAGGAACATACTCAGCTACGCAATCATCAATGGTGTCTGTACCCTGACGTTGGATTCACCTTGGAGTTATTTTCTGAGATTTCACACTTTCCGAAAGTCGCGGCCTTTTCCGCAAACCTTGAACCGCTATGTTACACACACATGATTTCGTGCGTGTCATCCTTGTGGCAGGGTGCACATGCTCAGTTCTGACACCCCGCCTTAAGGGTTTGTGAAGTTAACAAATCCTTACCTCTTTCCGAAAGCATTCCAAATTCAGATGTGAAACTTCTGCTCTCAGTACTCGATGTTCTAGTCTGGAGCTCTGTTTTCCTTGTCTTCGTTGTAGCCTTCATCATCAGTCGCATTGGGCTCTTCATCGACTTCAACCTCATCGTACTCTTCTTCATTTCCTTCTTCTACTTCGATTTCTTCGTTCTCTGAAGTCTCGTTGCCTTCTTCCTCTGGGTAACGCATGTCAACCCATGCATCTGGGTCTTCACATTCACCCATCTCCTCAGCTCTCTTGACTGCACTCGAAGATTCTGCAGCTTCTGAGCCTTCATCAACTTTCTCCTCATCTGCAAGCGTCTCATTGTCGTCAAAGAAACTGAGACTATTGCCACTTTCCATCCACTTGTTGAACGTGATTGTGGCTGCATTGTATGCTCTGCCATCTCTTCTCCCACAAAGCAACAGCAAATGTTGGAGATACTTCAGGGTGTTCCGTGCATCCTTGATCTCTTGTCGAAGTCCAGGGTCTCTTTGGTACTCGAGTTCCCTGATGAACTCATTGAGGTTCTTGCACGCCAAAGTCAGCGAAACCTCCGGTCCATGGCCCTCGTTCAAGAGCCTTCTCCTGAACTCCTCAAACTCGTCCTCATTGAACGGGATGCCATCTTCACCCCAAGGCAGCATTGCCTGGATGGAACCCAGGACAAACCAGCCACGGCCACTATTGGCCTCATTGTTCTCGATCATCTGTTGTGGCCTCAGACCAAAGTTCACAAGGTCCTCTGCCACCATGTCCGACAGACTTGGGCAAAAGATGTCGTTCTCCATCATCGCCTCTCTCTCTGCCTCTGTTCCTCTCCTTCTCGGTGCCACTGAGGAACTTGGCTCTTCACTTTCTTCTTCTTCTCTCATCTCTTCTTCTTCACTTTCAGGTGCTTCCATAGTGTGTCCAACTTCGTTATGAACTCTCCTCTCTGGCCTCGTCGGCGCTTCTTCATCTTCTGCTGCTGTTGTCGCTTCTGCTGTTGTTGAACTGCTTCCTCTGCCAGCAGCAATATCTCCATTTGACTTTTGTGCAGTTCTTCTCCTTGGTCTTGGAGTGTCGTGTCTTGTACCTGTCACTGGTACATCGGTATACCATGGGTTGTCATCTCCTGCACTAGGGTTGTAGCCATGGCCATCATCATCATCGTCGTCATGTGGCTCATCATCGTTGTCATCAGCCTCATCGTCTGCTTCTTCTTCTTCACCTTCATCCTCTGCGTTAGCATCACCTGCTATTCGCATTGGATCTTCATTTCTCCTCAAGTTCAACTCTGCTCGGATCTCTTTCCATGCAGTCTTGTATCGCGACAGGGATGCTCGAAACTTCTGTAGGTTGAAAACCATCACAGACATCACGAAAAGAAGAAACAACACTGTAACGACCAACAACAAAATGCACCATGTACATTGACGTACTGTGGACTTCATTCCTTCACAACTGTCGTCTTCTGGCGCACACCCTTTCAACCATCCAGCCATCACCATCATCTGCACAATGCGCTGAACACTTGGTGTACTCAAAGTTTGGAAACTCTCACTGCATAGTCCAATGAGTTTTGCCAAGTATTCTCTTCGTTCTCTGCTGAGCGCTTTGGTATTCAAATCAGCTGGATTCTCCTTTGTCGGGATGCGACCAATCTTGAACCATCCTCTTCTCATCGCTTCCTGTCCCCACAAAATGCGGGTACATAGGTGCTTGGCCCTGCCTGGGCCTAGGCGCTGGAAAAAGGCCTGAGCCGACGTCGAATCCAGGTAAAGCTTCATCTCAACCTCAACACTGTCACCTGGATCTTCTTTGCATCCTAGCAGGAACTGTAGCGCCTGCTTCAAAGCCACTCCTTCGGCAAGAAGACCTGTAGCTGCCAGCACCTCAGCCTCCATTGAACTCAAGGCTACCGAAGTTTGCCCTCTCGAATGAGAGTGGACACAATTGCCGTTGTGGAAAATCAAACCTGAGCTCGTACTCCTTCTCGAGGATTTTGATGATGCCCAGTCACTGTCACTGAACAACTCAAGCTTGTGATTTCCACCTTTCTTCACTTGGTCTGACCTCAAATTCTTCCATCTGCAGAAGACACTGTTCTGACCTTCATTTTTCTCATATCTCAACACCATATCTTGCGTTGCCTGCAAGTAGGACGTGAGCTTCTTGATGGCTGCAAGTGCTGTCTTTGTTGGGTTGGCCATGTACGTTGACAACCATCGTACACTGTGTTGAACATCAATCCTCTCCTGACTTAGGTAGAGGCATAGGCCAAGAGCACTTCTGAACAACTTGCTGTCCTCAGCATTCAGCCGTTCCTCCTCTGAAACCATTGCAGCGTCGAAGACGTCCAGGCTTGCATGCGAAGGCACACCTCGGCCCCGCCTGTCCTGAATCTTGAGCACGCTGATCAACTTCGGCACGTACTTGCCATTTGCAGCAATCTCCAAACCATCAGCATCAAATGTCAATCGCCTCTTGAGGTAAAACAATGTCCCAGGTCGTGATGTTCCATAGGGACCATCTGATTTCAACTTCAGAAGCTTGGAAAAATGACTGATGAACTTGTCATGCTCTTCTTCTGCTGCAACTAAGATGATGTCATCAATGTGCACGGACAGAAACTGCTTGCCATCTTCATGTCTATAGATTGCGCCTCCTCGAAATGGGCGAAACTGGAAGTCTGAGCATAGGGCGCTGAAATGTTTGTGCCACTCTAAAGCAGCATTCCTCTGTCCTGGCAAACAGCGCATCAGCTTCCAGAAAACTAGACCTTCGTTGTTCATGATCTCTCGAATCCATGTAGGCACTTCAATCACCACAAACTCCTTCTGGACAACCTGTAGGAAAGCATCTGAGATGTCCATCACTGAAATCATCAGGTCCATGGTCACACAAAGTGACATCAGCAGTTTGATGAATGCTAAAGGGCTCGTAGGGCTGAAGGTGTCAATGCTGGATGCTGCTCCACTTCGGAATTCTCGAGCAACCAATCTAGCCCTCCGGATCCAACTGCCTTCTCTGAACCTCCAATCAAAAACAACTCTTGTGTCCAGCTTCATGGCATCATCAACGTTCTCACCCGCTTCCAAGTTGG